GTTGGCCAGTAGGAAGGCACAGCTGTGAGGGAAACTCACAGCCCCGGGCACTGCCATGCAGAGGTTGCAAGGCAGACGGAGCAACCGATTCCAAGGACCCAGCCTTGATGTTTCTTCAACGATTGCTTTTGGCATTGGGCTCAGTGCCTGGTGTCACCCACCCCCTGCCAAAGCAACAGCCTACGGATTCCCTGCTGCCTTCCTGTAGAGGAAGGGAAGGAGCCGTCCCCCGAACGGCTCAGCCCCTGGGGGCAAAAGCAAGGCAGAGCCTTGTCTGAAACCTCCCCAGAGAGGTCCCTGGTGCCAGGTCTGTGCCTGGCTGGTGTTCACAGGTGAGAGAGAGACACCCCCATCCCTTTCCCCTGTTGCGCCCTGTCATCCGTTCCCAGTCTCTGAGAGAAGTGAGGGACCCCGTTCCTACCCATCTGGTCTAATAGCCATCGATGGACCTACCCTCCAGAATCTATCTGGTTCTTTACTGAACTCTGTTAAAGTCCTGGCCTTCATCACCTCTTCGCTTTGTCCCCTGCCCTGCCCCTTTGCTGCTCCCCACAGATCCCCCTCCCCAGCCGGAGCTGAGCGTGGATCCTCCGTCTGGAGTAGTGAATGAAGGGTTTTCCCTGAACATCACCTGCATGGCCCCCGGGGACCCCCGTAAGCGGAGGTTTCACTTCTACAAGGACGGAGCTGAACTTGTTCCTGGGGATCTGGGCTCTGAGATCAGCACCGTGGAGCCCAGCACCGGCTTTGTGAAAGTCTCTGTGGTCAGCATTCGTCCCCAAATCACTGGGGAATTCACCTGCGGCTACGAGGAGATCGTGGGCAGGAGGTGGGCCCTGTCCCCCCCGAGCCAGGCTGTGAACGTCACCGTGAACACCAGCACAGGTGAGACCTCCTTGATTCCTTCGTTCAGCTCCCTGGTTGGCTCCCAAGGGAGGGGAACCGTCCTCCGCGGCTCTCCTAGGAAGGGGAGGTAGGAAGATGCCACCTGCAGATAGGAAACCAAGTGGAGATGAAATTCCCCCTTCTCCCCACGCGCCCTTTCTAGCTTTGGCATGTCCATGGCCCCAGTGCCCTCCTATCTGTGCTCCTCACCTAGTTGTGAATGGATTTAGCCCCTCTGTGCCAAGCTGAGACGGGGTAGAATGGAGGCAAGCAGAGAGCACACCCCAGGCAGGAGCTCAAATACCCAGCAGGGGAGGCTGGTCCCACTGGGTTCCCAGCAGGGAGATCTCTGCTGCTCAGGGCTTGCGTGGCCTGGCGGGGACATAGGCACAGAGCTGGGGCTGGCTGGGGTCTCTGTCCAGGATGACAGCAGTTTTCAGGTATCTAAAAAGGTGTCACAGGGGAGAGGGAGGAAAATTGTTCTCCTTGGCCTCCAAGGACAGGACGAGAAGCAAGGGGCTTAAACTGCAGCAAGGGCAGTTTAGGTTGGACATGAGGAAAAACTTCCTAACTGTCAGGGTGGTGAAACACTGGAATAAGTTGCTAAGGGAGGTCGCGGAGTCTGCACCTCTGGAGATATTTAAGAGCAGGTTGGACAGACACCTGTCAGGAACGCTCTAGGCAGTGGTTGGTCCTGCCATGAGGGCAGGGGACTGGATTCGATGACCTCTCGGGGTCCCTTCCAGTCCTAGTGTTCTGTGATTCTATGATATTTGTATCCATAAGTCAATTTCATAAAGCATGGTGGCGGGGAGGTGGACTGTCACATGTCCCTCCCCTCCTTGAAATGAGGAGTAAGCTGTTATAGATGGAACATGCCATAAACCACACAGGGTCCTGGAAAATTTACTGCAAGGGCAGATTCTTGTGGGTGTATCC